CCACAAAATTTACCGCCGGGACCGCTTCGGGGCTGCGGTGTCCCCACGTCCGTGCACGGAGCCCGTCCCCGCGACGCTGAAGTGTCCCCACCACTCGCACCACTCCCCCCCCCGCGCCACCGTCTGCGCTGCCCCGACGACCCGAGGACTCCAGGGACCCCCTGTAGGGGCACCGCTCAGGATTCGCCCCGTGTGACCGCTCGCGTCCTCACGGCGCATCCATGTGGTAGCAGGTTTAGATTCCCTTCCTTTTGAGGGCTGACTAATACTCCATCGTGCGTACACCGCATTCGTCCACTCATGGGGCCGTCCTCGCTTTCCCGGACCGAACCTGGCGGGTCCGCTCCTCGTTCTGACACCAGTCAATGTCCACGTGTCCAGAATGTGCCCTGGCCCCTTGCCTCCGCCGGCAGCGATGGCAGCCCCTGCAGATTCTCACACTGGGTCCTGCCATGCTGGGCACAGCCCTGCGGCTCACTCTTTTTGCTCTTAACATTTTTTTTTTTTTTTTTAATATATCTTTATTGATTTCAGAGACAGGAAGGGAGAGGGAGACAGAAACATCAATGATGAGAAAGTCGCATTCCTCACAATTCACCCATATAAAAAGTGTCCAATTCAATGGTGTGTTTACTCAGAGCTGTGTAGCCACCAGCACAATCAATTTGAGAACATTTCATTACCCCCAAGAGAAACCTCATACCTGTTAGCAGTCACCCCCTCCCCAACCCTCCCCCAGCCCCTGGCAACTTTCTGTCCCTATGGATTTGCCTACTCTGGGCATTTCATACATATGAAATCACTATGTTGTAGCATGTATCAGTACTTCCTTTTTTATGGCTGAAAATATTCCATTATATGGGTAGACCACTTGTTTTTAAATAGTAGAGAATGGAAAGCTCTTTTTTAAAATAATTGATTTACTTATTAATCTTAAAGGAATGGAGAGACATCGATTTGTTGTTCCACTTATTCATGCATCATTGGTTAACTCTTGTATGTGCCCTGAGGATAGAACCCACAACCTTGGTGTATCGGGATGATGCTCTAACCAGCTGAGCTTACCCTGCCAGGGCTAGACCACATTTTTTAAATCATTTATCAGTTGATGGGCATTTGAGTTGTTTCCACTTTTGGGCTGTTATGAATAATGTTTCTGTGAACCTTCATGTACAAATTTCTGTGCGAGCCCAGCCAGCATGGCTCAGTAGTTGAGCATCCACCTAGGATCCAGGAGATCATGGTTTGATTCCCGGTCAGGGCACATGCCCGGGTTGCAGGCTCCATCCCCAGGGGGGAATGCAGGAGGCAGCTGATCAATGACTCTCATCATTGATGTTTTTCTCTTTCCCTCTCCCTTACTCTCTTTGAAATCAATAAAGACATATTAAAAAATTTTTTTGTGTAAACATGTTTTCCTTTTTCTGGGTATACACCTAAAAGTGGAATAGCTGGATCATAACTCTACATTAAACCTTTGAGGAGCCTCCACCCTGTTTTCCACAGCAGCTGCACCATGTTACAGCCACGCCAACAGTGCCCCAGAGTTCGTCTCCCCACACCCTTTTTTACTATAGTCATGCTAGTGAGTGTGGAGTGGTGTCTCATTGTGGTTTTGACTTGCATTTTCTTCCCTGATGCTAATGATGTTGAGCATCTTTTCATGAGCCTGCTAGTCACATGTAATTTTCCTCACTGAATTGATTGGGGGGACATTGGTTAATAAAAGTATACATACGTAATTTTTCAGCCATATGTAATTTTTCACTGAGTTGCCTTTTTATTACTGAGTTGTAGAAATTCTTTATATATTCTAGATACAAGTCCCTTATCAGATAGATATCTGATTTGTAAATATTTTCTGTGGGCTGTCTTTTCACTCCCTTGATGGTGTCTTTTGACTTACGACAATTTTAAACCTCACAAAGTCCAATTTGTCTATATTTCCATTTGTTACTTATGCATTTGGTGGCATATAGAAGAAACTTGCCTAATCCAGGGTCCCAAGGGTTTATGCCTGTTTTCTAAGTTCTGTGAATTTACCTTTTATGGTTATGTCTTTCATCCAACGTATCTTCAGTGTGAGCTCTGGGCCCAGGTTTAACCCTTTACATGATATTCAGTTGTCCCAAGACCATTTGTTGAAAAGACTGCTTTCCCCTATTGAATGGTTTAATGCCCTTGTTTAAAATCACTTACTTATACAGTGAAGGTGATCTCTGGACTCAGTTTTACTCCCCTGATCTATAGCCTGTCCTTGTGCCAGTGACTCACCCAGTTGACTCCTGTCACCTTGCAGTAAGCTCTGAAGCCTGTAAGGTGAGACCTCTTCCTTAATTCTCCTTGTTCAGGGTTGTTTTGGGTAGTTGGGGTTCCTTGAATTTCCATGTGAATTTCCTTGTCAATTTCTACAAAAAATCAAAGATTTTGATGGGGATTGTGCTGAAACTGTGGATGGATTTGGACAGTGATGCCACCTCACTGATACGAGTCTTCTGATCCATGAACATGGGACACCTTCCCATTTACTTGGGTGTTCTCTAGCTTTTCTCAGCACCTGGAAGTTTTCAGCATGTAAGTTTTGCACTTTTTTGTTAACCCGATTCCTATTTTTTAGAGCCAAACATTACTCAAATTATTAAAAATTATTAAAAGCCAGTTAAGATCTTCATAAATGCTTTTCTGAAACGTTTTTTAAAATGTTACTAGCAATGTACACATTCTTATGCTGCTCCTCTCCCTCCCTCCCTCTTAAATTTGAACACCCAGTGTAGCTGACACTTTAGGGAGACCCCGAAGTCAACCCCTTGGAAAGGTGAGGAGGGGAGCAGAGGCTGGTCCTATCCAAGGGGCTGTTGATGCAGCTTTGGTGGCATTAAATCCCCTAGGAAGGCATCAGGTGTCGGGACTCTTGCTTATGAACGTCTGGAACTGTGCCATCAGGCATCAGCAGGGCAAGAGGAAACCCAAGCCCTCACAGGCCGGTGCTCTGGCCCAGCCACCTCCCTCCCTTGGCTTCCTAGTCCCCAGCCTGCTCACTGCCCCAGCCAGACGCCAGCCTCTCCAGCTCCTTGTCCTTGCACTTCCTGTGTCTCTTCCTGATTCTCCTTTTCCCTTGTTTCCTTTGGGTTAATGGTTCCCATAGTTTCTGGGCTCAGCACAAGTTTGTATTCTTAGAAATTACTGAGGAGACTTCTGCTTCCAGGAGGGGGAGGTGTACTTTCCCGGTCCCTAACTCAGGCAGGGTGCAGGTCCTGGCAGCTGCCCAGGACACACAGGGAGAGTGCTGGTCCTGGGCACACAGGAGGTCCCACCTGCATGTAGCCACCCTCACACCAGGACTGCAGGACTGTCGGGCGAGCTGCAGGGAGCACGGGGGACGAAACAAAGATTCTGAAGAGGCTTCAAGGACAAGGGACCCCGAGCGACGAGCAGGGGGCCTGCCACTGGAGGGCACCAACGTCCACACCCCGGCCCTTCCCTGAGCTCTCCCTCAGTGCTGCCCTCACCCCCAGGAGGCTCAGGCTGGCCAGCTGTGGGTTTAAGATGGGACTCTTGTCAAGAGGGGACAGTGGAGCCCCTGCCCGTGTGACCCCCTCCAAAGAACTGCTTGGGCTTCTGGGCGGGGGTTGCTAACCAACTGCAGGTGACCTGGGGGACCCCCTAGGCTTACCTGGTCAAGCACAGACCCAAGAGTACTTTTTTGGTGGAATGGGAGGGGGACCCGGGAGAGGGGAGGCTCAGAACGGGGCACCTGACCTGATGTGCAAGGACTACAAGGAGGATTCTGGGCCTGCGGGATGTGGGCTCAGACACAGGCAGCCATGCACTTAAGGGGTAGGGTGGAGGTCTCTGCCTCAGGGGAGAAAACAGGCAGAAAGAATGGCTCACAGACAAGTCCACCGATAACTTAGTTTATGAGTCAAGCCAAATGCAATGCAAAGTTGTTGTTGTTTTTTTTAAACCAAAATAAATAAATCAGATCTGTCCTTGTGACAGATGAGGGAGGTTCCCACCCTGCCCCCTGCCCCTCCTGACTGGCTTTGGCACAGCAGGGAGAGAACACTCCAGGGTCTCCAGTGTGAGAGGGACACAGGAGAGAAGTCTGGGATGTGTAAGGGGCAAAGGTGGAGGTGATCAGGGGGCAGGACCCAGACCAGTAGATGCGCCCTGGCTGTGGGGCCGAGTGGAGCTTTTTGACTACCCACTCTCTGGCCTCATGCACGCCCAGAACCCTCTGAGAGGTGGAGTGGACACCATGGAGAGTGGACCCGCTCTCTTGCCAGGTCAGGTCCAGGCCATCCTGTCAGCTGCCCTGCCTACTCCACAGGGCCTCTGATGGCAAAGGCTCCTGCCAGGTGTCTGGGGCTCCACCCAGGAAGAGGAATCCACCTCCAGCGGATGCAGGACCCCTTGCTGGGTGGTAAGCCCCACGAGGCAGTCCTTGGGGTGAAGCTGGGGATGGGGATGGCCAATCCTCCCAGGACACCTGCAGGGCTCCCTCTCCTCCAGTTCCCACAGCCTCTGGGAAGGCTGCTCAGCAGACAGAAGTCATGGAGCCTGGGGAGCACCTGCCTTGCGAGGGGCAACCTAGTTGCTAAGTGCGCGAGAGGAGTGTGGGGTCACGGGCGGAGGCGTGGGCAGCACTGAGGCACTATGTATTCTTTAGTTGAAAAGCAAGGGCAGTGGTGGACGTGGAGGCCAGCGGCCCAGTGGCTGGGCAGCATCTATGAGAAATTCTTGAAGGCGTCCAGGTCAAAGGCTGTGTCCAGCAGGCGCTGCAGCTCCGTGAGGTGCGTCTTCTTGTTGCCGGTGGCGGGAGCTGCCGCTGGGTCGCGGCCAGCATACCTGGGGGTGGGGGACAGAACAGTGAGGGCAAGGCCACCAGGGCCTGGCCTCCTTCCCTTGGCCCTGTGCGGGCTGTGCCCTACCACACGGGTTTGGCGCGGTTGATGGTGGTCCGCAGCCGGGGCTTCACGTAGTCGTAGTAGCCCTGGTTCTTGTGCTCCTCCTGGCACCAGGCCAGCTCGGCCCCGGGGTACTTCTGCACCTCCTGTAGCAGCAGGTCGAAGGGGAACGGCGACAGCTAGGAGAGAGGGGCTCCCGTCAGAAGAGGACGCTTGGAGCAGCGGGCAAGCTGGGGCCAGAGGGACGGTACCCCAGGGAGCTCCGGAGCCCCGGCACCCAAGGACAGCTGCCTGCCCTCACCTGCTCAATCCTTGTGATGGCCACCTGCTCCACCATGTCCCGCGCTTTGCGCTCTCGGGTGAGGTCATAGTACACTTTGCCGGTGCAGAACAGAAGTCTCTTGACGTTTTCTGGGTTCTGGGCTGCAGGGCCATCTTCTGGGATCACCCGCTGGAAATGAGTCCCTAGGAGCGAATCAACAATAGCTTTGCTATCGATCGGTTTACTTTTTTTCAATAAAGGTGGACAAACAAACCAACAAACACACAAGGATAAAGGATAAACACATGTGGCCCATCCACACGTGAACTGTCAGCCTTAAAAAGGAAGGAGATTCTGACATTAGCTACAACGTGGCTAGACCTTGACGACATGATGCTGAGTGAAATAAGCCAGGTTGAGAAAGACAGACACTGTGATCCCACTTATAGGAGGTCCTCAGAGGAGTCAGGTTCAGAGACAGAGAGTAGACAATGGTGCAGGGGCTGGGGGAGGGGAGAGTGTTAGTATTTGATGGGGACAGACTGTCAGTTTGGAAGATGGGAAGTTCTGGACATGATGATGGTGTCAGCTGCACAACAACAGGACTGCATTTAATACCACTGAGCTATACACTTAACAGCAGCTAGATGGTAGATTAATAATATGTATATTTCGCCATAATAAAAAATTGAACACCCAACCACAAGCAAGAGGTTCACCTTGACTGGAGCCTAAAGGGGGCCCCACGGCTGGGAGGAGGTGGGTTTCCCTGGCCCCATGAGCCGAGGATGTGAGGGGCCTCACCCCACACCAGTGAGCTGGCAAGTTCCTCGGCAGGCCCTGCCCACTTGGTGCCTCTCCTATCCCTGGGGGGGTGACCTGAGCCAGCCTCCAGGAACAGAGCCCAGGCGGTGGAGTGAGCTCTAAGCTCATACTCATTTCACTGCCTCTAAGGGGTCCTGGGGATGCTCCAGGCAAAGGCCATAGACCTGGGCAGCAGTGAGATACGCCTTCAGACCAACTCGTGTGCAAGCTCTGAGGTTGAAGCTGTCGTGTCCAGTAGTCTTTACCCAATGACCAAGAATGTAGCAAGGGCCACAGTGCAGACACAGTATGAGCCCCAAAACCCCATAGAGCAGTGGCCAAGAACCCTGAAATGCTGGTCCCTGTACCCACCTGGAAGCATCTCGTCGAAGCTGGTCCTGGCCTCGGGATGCCGCAGCAGGGACTTGGGGGTGAAGATGATTAACTGAAACATAGAACCACAGGCTCATGATGGACCAGGTTCTAAAAGTTCCAGGAGGGGCAACAGCAAGGGGCTGCCCTCCCAGTGCTGTGATCAGGATGAGCCACAGGTCAGAGGCATGAAGAGGAGGAAATGGACAATACTGTTTCCCCCTGTCCAGCTCTCCTCTACTCTGAGAGGCTGAGCCCTGGTTGGCCAGGCATCCATTCCTCCAGGGATCCCAGCATGCTCTGAGTCCTAGGCGCCTCCTACCCTACACCCAGGAAAAGAGCCCCCTCCTCTCCTGGCACCCCTGCCTGTGGCCAGGGTTGTCCCGTGTTGTGGGCCTGATTGGCCTTGCACTCCAACCTGAAGCAGCAGAGGGTGCTCTCTCCCTGGACCATCCACACACACTCCTACTCATCCTTCAATACCGCACCCAGGTGGCCCCTGCAGGGGTTCACCTGTCTTCCAAGCTCAGTGCACCACTACGACCACCTGTTAACTTGTCCTTCCTCCCACCAGCCAGGTCTTTGAGCAGGGGGAGCCCAACTGACCGGCTTCCGGAAGGGCAGGAGGATCTGGCGGCGCAGCACATGGAAGAAGTTGCCGGGCGTGGAGCAGTTGACAACCACCCAGTTGCAGTCGTACAGCTGACTTATGTCAAAGTTGGCTTCCTGGAGGTCCTGCAGCAAGAAGCGGGGAGCTCGAGGACACATAGGAGCTGCTGCCTGGGCTTCTGCTCTCAGTCCTCCCTCCTCGCTGACTGCCCCAGGATGACCCAGGTTCTACCTGCACCAACCCTCTTCTTGACAGACTGACTCCCAGCCATTAAAGTCATTATGATCACCAATCTTTCTCTTCTAAAACATCAGACAGTGTTGCTCCCATGTGTGGCTGCACTTTCCTCTGTGCCCTCAGGGCGACTGGTGTTGAGGGCCCAGTCCGTACCCACCCCTGGCAACTGTCACAGGGGAAGAGCAATGGTGCCCTCAGACATCGCAGACACCCAGGTGGCACCCAACTCACTGGTAGGACGTCAGGGTCATCGTTGCACATCTGTAGGAACCGCTCGGGCCTGGCAGAGGAATGTTCTGGGCCCTGGAAACAGACAGTGGCTACAGCTCACTCACTTCTACTCTAAAAGTGCTGCATGGGCTGCTCTCCTACTGGCAGGCAGTCCAGCCCCTCGCCCCAGCATAAGGCATGTCCACCCTAGGAGGGGGCCGTGGGGGCTCACCATGCCCTCCATGCCATGGGGCAGCAGGAGCACGATGCCATTCTGCCGCACCCACTTGGCCTGCCCAGGGCAGATGAACTGGTCGATGATGCATTGGGCTGTGTTGTGGAAGTCGCCAAACTGGGCCTCCCAGAGCACCAGGGCATTGGGACTGGCCATGGCAAAGCCCAGCTCAAAGCCTGCAGACAGGAAGGATGTCAGGAGGGAAGGGGTGTCAGGGAGGGAGGGCTGGAGGGGAGAAAAGGGGGAGGGGAAGGGGGCCTCGCTCACCCAGGACCCCGTACTCAGACAGCGAGCTGTTGCACACAGTGTAGGGGGCCTGGTTGGGCCACAGGTGGTTCATGGGGATGCAGGTCTTCTTGTCCACGTTCTGGTCGTGGAGCACATGGTGGCGGTGGCTGTGGCAGGACACACAGGTAAGCAGGTAGGACCCCTGCCCCTGCTCAACCAGCAGATCCCACACATCCTACTCCTAACAGAACCTCTGGGCCTAGGATGGTGAACCGAACAACTGTGCCCAGGGTTTCCTTCGGGATAAGAGGCACCCAACCCCCTCTGCCCCTCTGCTTCGAGGGCCCAGCCTCACCTAAAAGTGCCCCGCTCCACATCCTGGCCACTCAGCCGGATGTGGATGCCTTCCTTCAGCAGGGAGCCGAAAGCCATGTACTCCGCCAGGGCCCAGTCCACCGTCCTGTTCTTTACCAGCTCCCCGCGCGTCTTCAAGATCCGGCTCAGCCCTGCGACACAGAGTGCTCACCAGCCACCCCCAGCCTCCCTGGACATGAGCAAGCCTTGCGGGGAGAGTGGGGAAAGGAGCACGTGGAGACCAGGCCAGGGAGAGGCTGTGATGGCCCAGCCTTTCCTCCACAGCTGCTAGTGAGGACCACGCTGGGTAGGGGTCAGGAAAGGAGAGGGCTTCCCACATTTAAGAGCCCTCTGCCCTGGACGAGGTAGGGACCACGGTGGATGGGAACAGAGTCCTAAGCTGGTGAGAGCCCATCCCTGGACTTGGGCCAACGCTCCCAAAAGCCAGCTCAGGCCCTCACCCCCATGGATGGTGAAGTTCTCCACGGGCACGGAGCTGGCCACATTCCCGATATGCGTCAGGATGTCCTCCGTCAGGCCCGTGGAGGGGCAGGTCATGCTTCTGGGCTGCCCATCCAGTGTGAAGAAGCCTAAAATAGAGTGACAAGCTGTTGCTGGCCGCACTGTGGCCCCAGGAGATGCCGTGGAGAAGCCTGGGCCGTGCACCTGTGAGAGGGAAGTTGGGGTCTGACCCTAGGGCCTGTGGGTGCTGGGGGTCCATCACTGACGCCTTGCTCACCAGGCCAGGGGGAGTCCAGCCAGTGCTTGATGTGCAGAATTTTCTCATCCTTGGACCGGGCGAAGGCCTCCTCACAGATCTTGTCGTACTTAGAGATCTCCTCCTGGAGGCAGGCACGGCACAGTGGTCAGGGGGGCTCTGCACAGCGCTCGGCACAGGGCCCTGGCCTCCGAGCAGTCCTCATGTGCACAGCCTCAGATCCGTGTTGCCCCCATGGTTCCTTCTCCACACTTAGGGGAAATGCTGCTCAGGGCAAAGCCCCAGCCTGGCCCATTTTCTTAGCCTGGTCCAGCTCTCAGGGCTCCTGCAGCTCCCACAGAACTGAGCCCTGCAGCCCCCTCGTCCTCTCCAGCATTCACTGTTCCCACACCTGCCATGAAGCTGCTCTGTGCCAGCCCCCCTCACCTCTCCCTCTGAGCACCCTGCACAGGCTACCCACGACTGCCAGCCAGGTCCCACCACGCACACAGTGCCATCGCCCTCCCCAAGCTGGACCTGTATCTGTCGTCTCTCATCCCGACATGCACGTCGCCAGCTAGAAAGCGTAGGCTGCCACCCAGCCGAAGTGCTGAGGTCCCACCTCCCCCTGGGAAGTCCTCAGGTGACCAACCCCCACCCCGGAGAGGCCACACAGCGAGATGCAGTAGCTGTCAGTCTTTCATGTGCCCTCACTTGGACTAGTCACTTGGCCAGCAAGCACTGATCCTGGGCTGGCCTCCTCGCTCCTCCTACCCCGTCCCCTCGGTCCCCAGGGACACACCTCGTACTCGGGCTGGTTGACCACACCCTGCGACACCAGCAGCTCCGCGTACTTCTGCAGCACCGGCTTCTGCTTGCGGATCTGCTTGTACATCAGCGGCTGCGTGAACATGGGCTCATCCATCTCGTTATGGCCGTTGCGCCGGTAACACACCTGGGGACAGCGGGGACAGCCCAGTAGCCACTGTCAGGGACCACGTGGAGAGCTTGGGGGACCTGTGAGGACCAGCCCTCCCCCAATATGATGCCTCCACCCAACTCCTCTAGAGTTAGGGTCTTGTCTAGCTTCCCCTTACACGCTACAGTTGCTTTGACTGTCACATGACATAAAAGGAAAGAAACCCGAGAACATCCCAGGATGACCCCAACTCCCTTCCTCCTCAGGTGACTCATCCAGAGGGACACTCAGAGGCTCTCCAGTGGGGCAGCAGGTGACCCGCGCCCCGGGGCTGGGTCAGGACAGGGCCAGGGCTAGGGCCACTCACCAGGTCCACCACCACGTCCTTATGGAAAGTGTTCCTCCACTCAGCAGCCACCTTGCACACATACATGACGGCCTCTGGGTCATCAGAGTTTACATGGAAAATGGGGGCATTCACGACTCGTGCCACGTCAGTGGGGTAGGGCGAGGAGCGGGCCATGCGAGGATCTGTGGTGAAGCCGATCTGCAAAGAACACAGGCTGCTGGGAGGGACTGGGGGCCAGAGGGTGGGGCAAGACCAAGGGAGGGGCCAAGGGCAGAGGGCATGGCTAAGTGGATCAGAAACCAGACCCTTGACCTTCCCTGGGGTTACCTGGTTGTTGACCACCACATGGACGGTGCCGTGGGTCGTGTAGGATGGCAGATCGCTCAGGTGGAAGGTCTCGTACACAATGCCCTGGCCGGCAAACGCGGCATCCCCGTGCAGAAGGATGGCCATGACCTACAGGCATGTGAGACCACAAACCCAGCTCGACCCTAACCACCAGGCCCACAAGGCACACTGGAGGCTCAGCCACAATCCGCTTTTCAAAACACATTTTCTGAGATCACTTTAAAGTTAGAAAGAAAGAGGCAGAAGGGCAGAGACCCCCAGGCCTCCCCCAGTCCCTGCCTGCGAGCAGCCGAAGCCTAGGTCTGAACACCTCACAGGAGGGCACTGCTGGCCCAGACATGGAGGCCATGCAAGCAGACCAGCCCCGCCAAGTGCAGGCGGAAAGGTACAATGGCCGCCCCCCCCCCCCCC